TTATGAATTTAAAGAAAAATTTTATTATTTTTTATAAAATGCTTTCGATGTACATTTTATGATAAACACACACACATAAACCTACACACACGCACACACACACAGCAGCACACCCAGGACTTCAAAAGTACTTTGACATTTGATTTGACAGCAACAACAACAACAACAACAACAACAAAAGAAATGCTTTGCGATTACAATTTATTATTTATTTTATTCATATGTATATATATACGAATACGAGTATATGTATGTATGTATATGTATATATACATATCCATTTATGTATATATATGTATGTATGTATACTATTATTTTTTTTTTTAATTTTTAACGTAAAACCTTTAAAAGTTTAAACTCTAAAGAAAACAAAAAACAAAACAAAAAAACAAAACTAAAAAAAAACTTAAAAACACTTAAAAAATGAAAAAAAAAAAAAAAATGAAAGAAAAATGAAGGGAAAATACTTTTAAAAAGGGCATATTTTTTTATATACATATATTTACATATTTACATAACGTTTTTAGCGGTACAAACATCGTGAGTACAAATCAATATTTATTTTGTTTTTTCGTTTGTTTTTTGTCTATTATAAAGAAGGAACGAGAAGAAGAATTTAGGGATTTCCTCAAAACATAAAAAAAAAAGAATATTTTGTTTTCAATCGTTAGGCGACAGTGAAAGAGTTTTCAAAGAAAAAAGATAAAATGGGGAAACAGTTGAGAGACACTGGAATACGCACTCTTTTTTTTTTTAATATTATATACGATGATATAGAAAGATAACGATATAATGCGAGTTTTAACGTAGGCTAAACGACGACACGCATAGCAAGTTAACAGCCGAGCAAAGCAGCAACAGCAGCAGCAAATAGCCCAAAAAGCAGCCAAATCAGCCAAATCTCACATGCAAGATGAAGAACGAATACGAATGACAGTAACAAGAGAAAAATATTTAACGAACATAAAATACTAACTAAAAACACTTAAGTACTAAAAATAATGGTATTCAAATTGTGAAACTCCGGAAGCGCAGAGCACGTCAGAAGAACGAAAAGAAGATGAAAATACAATAACAAATGAAATAAACAAAAATTGGGGGTTAATTTTGTTTAAACAAAAAAATAATACTAAAAGAAAATAAAATGATTTTGTTTGCAGAAAAGTTGGACGCAAAATAAAAACTGAACACCAAACAGTAAAAATGAATTCGAAATGAAACAAGAAAAGCGAAAACAATAACAAAACAAGACAAGAAACTAATGAAACAGCTGGACAAGGTCAGAGATTTAGAAGCATTAAAGTTAAGAGCAGAGTACTAGAAACAGAACCAAAACAGCAGACAGACAACAACAGCCAGAACCGTTAAAAACTACCCGGATACGACACAACTGTACTAAACAATAACAAAAATAAAAAATAAAAAAAAAAACAACAAATACCACTTAAACGTTTGGCATATGAACCACAATGCATGGAAGAACGTACATAAAAAATATTTTATAATAATTAAACAGTTTAAGTTGCTGAGCAAGCAACTAAATTTGAGAAGCAAACTATGTGAATGTACTAAAAAACACACACACACATACATATATTTTTAGCATATAAGAAGAAGGCAAAAAAAGAGAATGGTGAAAATATGAAAACAAATACAAAACACAAAAATAAAAACATAACTGAAGCAAATTTTTTGTCAGCCGTAAACGTTTTACATGTACTAAAAACTTGGTAAAAAAAACTGTAAACTAAAAAAAAAAATAAAAAATAAAAACAAAACAAAAAAATAAAAAATAAAAGCAAAACAAAAAATGTCCACACACCACTACCCACATATACATACTATATATTATTGAAAAATGTTTGATTAAATGATTGACAGACACACACATATATATACACACACACACACATAGAAATTTGAAGCGAGCCCTAAGCTAATTTCTCTATATAATTCAATATTATATTTAACAAGCAAATAATCGAAATGAAACAACAAATATTAGGCCTGCTTTTGTGTATTTTCCAGAAAAAGTATAAGAAAAATAATAAAA